ACCAGCCACCCCGTCGACTCCAGCAGCAGCACCAGTGGTGGTACCAACACCAGAGTCGTCCAGAGACCCTGTAAGAGTCGACTCTCATTCCAATCAGTCTAATAGGAGGGACCGACAGAGGGACTAGTCGCTAAGACCAGCTGTCGTGGTCCTCAACACCTCCCTTGCCTCAGCTCTTACCATTGTTCAAAAGGAGGGACACCTCAAGGAGCCTGCTCCTAAGATGACGTCGAATCCTAAGAACCATAACATGAGGCAAATTTGTCATTACCATAAGGACCACGGCCATCTCACCAATGACTTATGTATCCTTAAAAGGGATATTAAGGACCTGAATGAGAGGGGGTACTTGAAGAACCTCGTCTCTCGATAAGACCGCAAGGAAGCTGACCCAGTCAGGGTATTTAGGAGATCCCGTTCGCAGTCACCTCATCCTCAACTACGCCAAGATAGTCGACCCCCGGAGCCCAGCCACAAAGGGATCATTAACATGATCAGTGGCGGTCCCACTACTGGAGGGTTGTCCAACAATGCTCAGAAGAGATATGCCAAGAGGGCTTTGCGGGTTGACCAAGGCGACAAGAGGACGAAGGCAGAGGAGCACATATCTTTTGGGGATGTCGACCTGCAAGGTGTTGAGACGCCTCATGACGATCCTATCATCATAACCGCATTAATTGATGGCTATTAGGTGAAACGAATCATCGTCAACATAGGGAGCTCAGTGGACATATTATATGTCGATGCCTTCAACCAGATGGACATTGACAAATCATGTCTGCTCCCCTGTAGAGGACCTCTCATCGGATTCACCGTCCACTCTCTTTTGCCAGAAGGGATGATTACTCTCCCCTGAACAGTTGGAGAGTACCCTAGGCAAGCCACCGTCTAAGTCTACTTCCTGGTGATGGATCTTAAGTTGGCCCATAAGGTCATCCTAGGCTGAGCCGCCCTCCATCTCTTGTGGTCCATCCCTTCAACTTACCACTGGATGATCAAGTTCATGACTCCTAACGGAGTCGAAGTCGCCAGGAGAAATCAACGAGAGGCTAGGTCCTGTTACCTACTCTCGACCTAGGGTAAGGGCGTGCAAGACGCCATGCCCATTGAGAAAATTTGCCTCTAGTTAGAGAAAATAACAGAGCAGCAAAGGACGACACTGGTAGAAGAGCTTCAGGAGATGCCCATTGACTGAGAAGGACTAAAGACGATCAAGATTGGGTCTAATCTAGTCGAACCCTTGTGAGAAGCCTTGACAGAGTTCTTAGCAGCAAATGCTAATGTGTTTGCCTGGGGACCCAAAGATATGCTGGAGGTTCCCCCCAAAGTGATAAGCCACGAGCTGGCTGTCGACAAGCACACCAAGCCTGTTCGGCAAAAGAAGAGACACCTTGGCCCAGAACGTCAGAAGGCAATGGCTGACGAAGTCGAGCGACTTCTCAGAGCTAGTTTCATCCGGGAAGTCTAATACCCGGAGTGCCTAGCTAATGTGGTATTAGTGAAGAAAGCATTGAATAAATGGAGGATGTGTGTGGACTTCACCGACCTCAACAAAGCTTGTCCTAAGGATAGCTATCCTCTGCCTTAAACCAATTAACTAGTCGTCGAGAGTGCGAGGCATGAGCTGCTCAACTTTATGGATGTCTTCTCTGGCTACAACTAGATCTTCATGGCAGAGCATGATCAGGAGAAGACCTCTTTCATCATTGACTTGGGGACATACTGTTACAAGATGATGTCATTCGGTTTGAACGACAGGGCTACATATCAGAGACTTGTCTGCAAGGTCTTCAAGCACCAGATTGGCCACAATCTAGAGGGTTATGTGGATGACTTTCTAGTGAAGTCAAAGCAAGCGTCGGTCTACATATCAGACCTGGACGAGACCTTCTCCACCCTCCGGTGCTACTGAATGAAGCTCAATCCCACCAAATATGCCTTTGGGGTGCAATCGGGAAAATTCCTAGGGTTCATGATCACTCAAAGAGGCATAGAGATCAACCCTAAGAAGATAGACGCCATAGAACGATAGCCCAAGCCGCGCACTTTAAATGATATCTAGAAGCTGAATGGGAAAATAGTGGCTCTAGGACGATTCCTCTCCAAATCTGCCGAGAGGAGCGTTCCTTTCTTTAAAACTCTAAGAGGAAGCAAGAACTTAAAGGAGAGCATGACTTGGACGGCTGATGCAGTGCAAAATTTTAGGATCTCAATACCTACTTGAGTACTAAGCTACTACTAAGCCTGCCTATAGAGGGAAGACATTGTACTTATACATGGTCGTCTCCTCCGAAGCAGTCAGCTACGTCCTTGTTCAGAAAGAGGAGAACATTCAGAAACTCGTTTACTATGTAAGCCGGATCCTCTAAGAGGGCGAGCTCAACTACTCCCTTATAAAGAAGGCTGCCTTCATCCTCATCATCACTACAAGGAGACTTCGTCCTTACTTTTAGACCCATGTCATCATTGTGTGAACGAGTCTGTCTTTGAAGAAAGCGCTGGGCAACCCTACAACATCTGGGAGGATGGCATTTGGGTAGTTGAACTCAGTGAACATAATGTCCAGTTCGAGCCTAGAGCAGCAATCAAAGCTCAAGCCTTGGTGGACTTCTTGATTGAATCAACTTTGCCAAGCGAGGGACCAGTCGCACCCTTGCTGACAATTCAACCAGTAGAGCTAACACCTCCAACAGTCCAAGCAACTGCCCCCTAGATCCGTCACACCCTAGAACATGATTCCTACGAATATACCTCATGGTGGTTATTGAAGGTGGACGGATCCTCTGGAGAAGCCGGCAGTAGAGCAGGGGTGGTCTTGCGAAGCCCAGATGGGTCGACGCACGAGCACTCCATCTCCTTTGACTTCTCGGCTGTAGGTTGTCTAAAAATCACTGCAGATAGCTGATCCCCCATCAAACACTGATGATGAAAGTTACAATCTGACGACTTCCAGAAGGCTATAATTTGAAGACTTTTATGTAGATCGATAAATATTACAATCTAACGACATTCGCAACAACTGATGAAAGTTCTAATCAACAGCCTTCGCAATCAACATCGGGAGTTACAATCTGACGACTCTTATATTTTTAAAGAGCAAAGATGAAGATTATAAGATGATGGTCTTTGCAACGCTCTAGTAAAAGAGACTACAAATTGACGGTCTCTTCAAATCCAAACATAGAGCTTACCTTTGCGTCCCAGATTCAAAACGCATAGCTCATGGCCGCGTTCCAAACTCCCAAAAATGAAATGCAGAGCCCGTAGATGTGTTCCAGAATGAAACACAAAGCTTAAGAGCTACGTTCCAACTTCAAAACGCAAGGGTCAGCCTTGCAGTCTAGATTCAAAATGCAGCATGGCATGTGCGTTCTCAGCCACCATAATAGGCCCATCTCTGCGTTTTAAGTCTAAAACGTAGAGTTCAGGCCTAGAACGCTATTCTCTGTGTTTGACTCATTCAAACGGTTCCAAAAACTATTTCCCACAATCTAAGGGGATCACAACTCCACCCAGTAGAGATTTTAGGGGGCGATTACACCTCGTTAAACCCTTGAACAATTTTAAAACTATTTTCCACGAAATGTGGTCGGTTACACTCCATTAAGGAGAGATTTTAGGGGGCAGTTACACCCCTAAAACCTCTATAAATATTGGTAAACTTAACTGAGTTTGGGGGCTGACTTTTTTGGGGAATTGCTGGAACTTTGGAGATCGACAACAGGAGCTTTCTTTATCCTTGACTTATAAACCGATTTTGGTTAAATCAACTCTTTCATACAGTTTCAAACTCATTCAGAGTTATCAACTTATCAAGATTTAATTTCAAACTTACTTTGCAAGTTCTTCATAGAGTCAAATCGTGAGGAGAAGACCACGTTTTAGTGAAACAAGACATTCGGATCGTCAACTAGAAGCAAACTCGACGCGAGCATTCGAGGGAGGCATCTCATCGCAACCATGAAGAACCCAGACTTAAACAAAGGTGAAGATCTCCATCGATCTTCTTCTCTTTTGTAATCAGGAAATTAAAATTGTAATTAAGGTTGAGAGAGTTGTAAATATTCTTTCTCTAAATTAGTTAGAGGGAATAAAACATTCAATTCTTTTATTTTCTTATTGCAAATTTTCCACTAAACAAAAGATGACGACTCTGTTGGGGACTAGCTTTTTTCACCGATGAGGAAGTGGTGGCGCAATCCAACATAAAACTCACTGGAACGACCGTCGAAACTCTTATTGTTGAGTTTGATCAAGCCAAGTATGAGGAAGTTCTTTCCTTTGGATCCCTTAGCCCCAAGGCCATGCGCAAGATCCACAAAGTCTCTAAAGAGACTAAAGCTCCCATTGGTACAATTGCAGCCGAATCACCTAAGGAAGACCTCTCCTTTGGACCAAATTGCTCAGACAGCCCCTCCTCCGATGGAGTGGGCTCAACTTCAGCCAAACCTACGGCAAGACGACGGGTATCGGGTCGCAAGAGGCCCATTGAGATGACAAACTTGATCAACACAGATGGTGACGTCGCTACAAAGGCCTTGAAGCAGGCTAAGAAGAACGTCACTCGACGAAGGAGGAGATCCCTGCGACGAGCACATCTCTAAGAATGCCGATCCCCAAGTCAACACGAGCTTTGTGTTTGTGAGCCTAAACGTGACCCTGTGCTCTGTGTTTCTGCT